CTCCTAAGACAGAACACCGTCAGGTGTTCGATCACTGCCCCGCAGCTCGGAGCTCTATCTCCTCTTTCTCAGCATAGCTGAGATCCATCGGCTCAGGCCCGCTACACAAACTCGAGTGTGCATTCCAACCAAGTCGTGTTGACTTGAAGTTTCTAAGAGAAGAGGGATGCATACGTAAGACTTCCGTTCTGGCCACGCCGGTGCGGAGGCCCTCCATAAAGACAATCACTGTGCCCTCCTTGGGAAGAGGATCGGCGTCTAATGTCAAAAACACAGCGTTTGTCTTATGTTTTCAACCAATCAGAGGTTATCTACACTGTATCAATCAACAAATAATCAAGTTATTGCTCCATCAAGTTGGCAATGGCGGAGCAATTAACAGCATGCGCGCGGCAGCTATTCGAGGGCGTACCCGGAAGTAGCGAACAAAAAGCAGCCAACGCATGGCTAATGGAATTTCAAAAGAGTGATGAAGCTTGGCAGGCGGCGCTGCAGCTTTTAAAGACGCCTGCGCGCAATCCTCAAACACAACAGATACTAGCGGCTCCGGAGCTCATGGCCATGCAAATCTTGCGACTTAAGACGCAAAATCAGTGGACGCATATTAATGAGCACCAACAAGAGATGGTTTGGCAGGTTTGTCGATTAATGCATTCTTGTTTATCGAAACTGCGTCGTTCTAACTATGACGCAGACCTTGTTGAAGTTGCTAAAGACGACGTGCGTGGCAGACGGTGGTCTTTCAGCCTCTAGTTGCCGTATTGCTTGTGCCACGTTAGCAGATATTGTGGTCAAATGCTGCACGACGTGGACAGGATGGAAGAGTGATGTACAGCACCTAATAAATGCAGGTGTTGCTGCTCAGAGGCAAGGGATTGCGGCAACAATGGTACAGTCTAGATTATCGAAGTTTTGACTATGCAATTGGCATGAATGTGGACTGCTATAGCTAGTCGATATTCTTGGAGCTATTCCGATGCAAATTCGGGCCTCAGAACGCATGTGGACAGAAGAAGAGATGCATGTGAAGCTGACGGGGCTTCAGGCTGAAGGAGAAGAAGTTATGACAGCAGTGCAAATGATTTTGACAAACATGTACGTTTGCTGCACTGTTTTAATGAGAAGTTTACTGAGAATTCATGTTTTGCTGGATTAGAACTGGTGAGACGAGTAGTGCACTCCGTTGTCTGGAAGGTTGGGTTGTTGGTTGTGTTCCTAGCAACGAGGCATTTGGTTTGACTATTGCTCACCTTTTCACTCGGTATGATGTCTTGACAACGGCATTAGTGAAAACTTGATCTATGAAATTTCTTAATAATCATGTGTTGCATTCGCTTCAGTGGACTGATTGATGTGCTTCTCACGCTTGTCATCAGTGATAATGAGGAACACTCACAGGTAAAGTAGTACTCGCAAGTTGTCGTCAATATAAATGTATGACTTGTTTATCTGTAGCTAGCTGCTGATATTGTCGCGGATTCAGTTGTGACAACGCATATAGAACCGGCGTCTGAATGTTTGATTAGTGCAGTACTTCACACAAGTCATTGTCTTGTCAGAATGATTGCACTTTTCCAGGCAGATGCATACTTTTCGACAGGCAAAGCCATGATTAAAGAGCAGCAGAAGATTGTTTGTGGGTGTATCTCACGTATCGCGTGTTCCTTAGCCCTGAATCATGCTCGTACACTCTTTTCAAAACAAGCAGGTGCTTCCAAAATCGGTAGTAAGGACTGCAATTTCCGAAACCTGTCAACCGAATTTTTAGAGCTGCTCCTTGCTTGTTCCTCGTTCGATGACATTGATGTCGTGCAACCTACGCTGGAGTTCTGGTTCTTTTTTCTCGAGGCCAACTTGACGGATGACATATCATGGCAATTTCGGGACGCAGCGGGGCAGGAGTTTGTGGTCAGCATTCTGTCACGCTTAGTCACTGCACTGATTGAGCAGTGCAAATATCCGCGGTGGTTTGTTGAAAGCCAACAGATTATGAGCGACGACCCGGAGATTGAGGCGATATCAACTCTGCGCCGGTAACAAGGATTCGAAAATGTTCGTGGAAAGATATTGTGACCATAACGAACCTCTTGCATGTTGACAGAGAAATCGCGGATACATTGCTGAGCCTGTTTTACAAATGGCCAAAACGTTCACATGAATTTGAAGCAAATCATGTTTCCTGTGTGAAGGGCTTGTGCCAACTGTTGTCGGGTTGCAAAGATATCGCGTTAATTGATGCGCTACTTTTCTTGCTCTCGTATATGATTGAGCTTTTTGATGTATCATCAGATTTAGGATCAAAGGAAGACTCAGACTCGTCACCAGATCCAACATTCGATGGAGTCAATGTGCTGTTAGAGGTTCTGAAATGCACTGTTAACCTGCCCATACACCCACTCACGATTAATGGCGTCGCCCGGTGAGTAAAAGGCCAGGTCAGATTGCCGATAAGTATAATGTTTATATATTAACTTACCACCCATTTACGACCAGATATCTACGAACACTGAGTATATCGCTGGCATTGCCAGCCAACGTTAACCTTCATACTTCGATGGTCATTTGTCAAGGACTTCAATACAAATCGTCGTTTTCAGTAGCAGTGCAGTCGCTGCTGCACAGTAGCGCATCTCTAACGTATGTGGGTTGACTAGGTGGTTGCTTGACCAAACAGAGCTAATGGTCTCAAATTTGCATAAACAGCAAGTATACAACATTTGAAGAGAGAACACAATTACTGCATGAGCTAATCCACTACTGCAGCACGCTACAAAACAAAATTACCCAAGAGAGTGAAGGAAATTTATTAGAAGTGACTTTTCGAATGTCAAGCGGCGCATCAAGTGCAGGTGCAGCTATAAACCTTTTGATTATTCTGGGGCATTAATGTTCAGGCTGAAGTTTTCTGCTGTAGATTTTGGTGCAATATGCTCAACAGTTTTATATAGCCTAATTGCTTCCGCGCAGCGTGGAAACTCGATTGAAGGGTCGAGGAGCATTTATTTATTGGGCCGAGCACTAAGTGGTGTCCAGGATCAAGAGCATGGATACGCGCTAGTCGATCAACTTTGGGCTGTCGTAGCTGCGTCTCTACTTCGCCATACGGGAGATGAAAGCTATCGTCGAGCCGGAGTTGTGTTTTTTATAAACGTTGTCTCCCATCTTCAAAAGGGTTACGGTCCAATTGAAGCTCAAATTCTTGACTTGTGTTTATGCTGGTACGGTGACAGCATTGCTCCTGATGTTCTTACTTGTTGCTCCCACATATTTGCAAGACAGCAAAACAATACGGATTTTCTTGTGTCAGCTGAGCATAATTTTAAGGTAAGATCGGTAGATGTACCAATTTGATCGCTACTCATTCCGTTTGTAGCACCTTGTTGGTGGGTTTTGTGGCAAATTGCACCAAGTTTCAGGAGCCAAGTCATGTGATGATAACGTATCAATGACGATCTACTTATCGCAGCACCCCAAAGCAAGTGATGTCATATTAGAGATCAAAGAATTTCTGGGTCTGGCACGAGAAGTGTTGAACTATTATCCACAAAACTTGTCAAAATTGCGTCCAAACGGAGAGCCAAGCTTGTATTGGGTTTGCCTGGATCTGGCAACAAGTCTCGTAAGACTAGATCATAAAGTATGCAGTTGTTTATTCATTTGTGTGCTGTGGTGATGGACTAACGGCGGGTAATTATTTCGGATGCAGGAAACGTGTGATGCTGCATGCCAATTTCTTCTTGGTGCGATGCATTGCCAGTCTGAGCTGATTTTGGAAAATATCAAAATGTTTACGATAGAAATCGTGCGAATTGTACTGAGTTTTCTGGACCCAAGTCGAAAGCACAATTATGTTCGAAGTCTCTGGGATTTTTTTTATCAGTGTATACACGCCCCTGATATTTCCATTCAAATTCGAGGTATGCTTTGTATGACTAAGAAAGCTAAAGTGGTGACATGCTCCTGTTTCTTGTGCATTCTCAGGTAGCTTTCTGACTGCTGTGTCGACTGTGGTGCTCGAAGAAGGACTTCTACGCTCAATCTTATCAAATCAAATGTGCCAAAACTTGCCTGGAGAGCTGGAAAAGCGTCGCCAGCGACATCGCTTCCGATTATATTTCACAGAATTGGGGCATGCTGCTGATGCGGCAAATTCATCTATAATTTAGTGGAGCTTCTCGAAAAAGGATGAGTACGACAGGCAAAAATACATCAAGAGGAAAGATTGTCACTGTAAACACTATACATTATATCCCTATCATTTCACGAAATGGTCGTGATCGACAACGGAAGAAAAGTGCAGCCATTTTGCCACCAAGTCGGTTGGCACTTGCATTTACGCTGACCCTGGTGGTGTCTAATCAATTGTTTAATGCAATGATACCGTAATTGGTTCGATTGGAACACCATTCTTTACGATAGACAGAATGCGAATTTGCAGATGAAACGCACCTGTGCTGATGGCTAAGAGGCGACATATTACTAGACAGTTTTATCAAGTAAGCGCATTGCAATTAATATTGATTCGGTTATCAGAATGAACGATCACACCCAGGGATTGTTGTGTACATTGCGCAGAGGAAGCTTTGACTCATAAAGTCCGCGTTAAAAAACAGCGGTTAAGTCTGTGCGCTCCTAATGTCCCATGGTAATCTTGAAATGTGAAATATACCGTATTGTAGATAATATAATGTATCAAACGTGTAAGAATTTAGTGCACAAGTTTACAGCTCTTGCGCCTTTATACCCTTCCCCATTAAGATGTGATCCACACGACGGCTCAGACTGATTTTGCATGATCAATTCGCAACGCAAGAATGAACCCACACGAGCTATCACTATATTTAAAATTTCACTCGTCTCTGCATTTACTCTGCCTGCTCTATTGAGCGTACTTGCACCGAAAGTCCGGTTTCGTGCATCGAAATTAAATGGCTCAACGAGATCGCACCACAAGCGTAATCTTCGTGAATCTTCGTGACCGACGCACTTATCTATTCAATCAGCAGAGCGAAACGAGTATGGAAAACTAGCTATGTGAGAGCTTCCTTGCTTCCTTAATTCACAGGTAGCAACTTCCCTGCACTTGAAGCAACAGCGGTTGAGTAAATCCGTACCTCCCATAAAGACGTATTTTGTAAAGTTGAAGCTCTGCATCTTTCTTGGCGTAAGTTTTGCTGAGTAATTGGCTCAGCTCGCGCATTGGTTGAGAGACGCATGCCGACATACCTGTCTAAAGGCTGTACAAGACATCATCATCAAAACAGACATCAGTCAGAGCGTCGCATTATAGCGCATAGTTCAAAGCACGACGCGAAGGTCGAGGTGGCACCCCATCTCTCAAGCTTCTGTTATTGACAGCCCTGCTCGTCTCTATGGAGAAGCTGTAAAAGCTACCTACCAAGGGCTATATTTTAACGCAAGATCGATCGCCTACCATTAGTAGGAAGAGCACTGCGACGTGCTTCTCCACACATCCCTTGCGCTTGACTAAACTGGCCACAGTACATAGGCAAACTTGCAAAAGTGAATACTCGAATTTATCCGACTTTTTGTCAGAGGCGCTGTGTACAAGCAGTCTCTCAAACACATCACACACGCTTGTGCGACGAGGAAGCGATTACCGACATAGACGGAAAAGGACAGTTCCGACTTGGAGGGCAGAAGAACGAGTTAAGCCCTTCAAGGCAAATTTACAACTAAATTTAAATTGAGTAATGATTCCTAGCTACATGCAAAACACCCAATGGCTCCAAGAGGTTTTACTGATGAGCGCTTAGGCTCCTGATTACTAGATCAAGGGTGTACTGAGGTTAAACCTCAGATTCGATTGATACAAGATCTTGGTGTACGGAGCTTGAACTTCGAAACCTTGAACATCAATTTTCGCGAAAAATATCCAGAAGAAGGGACTGGCTTATGCCACCCAATTTGAAAACTTGAACTTCAACCTTCGTGGAAAGTATCTAGTTTAAGTGACTGGCTTACGCCGCTCACTTTTAAAGATAGAGACACGCCGGGTCTCGTCACCAATATAGATCCTCAAGTAGGAACCAGCATTCCGTATTACACAGAATGTTTGTTACTTCATACAAGAAATCGCGAATGCATTTGGGAGCACCATACTGTTATCTTCTTTTAGTTATTCTCACAATGCATACACAAGCTACATAAATGTACCTTCGTGTATTGGATAAGTGTAGCCCATTATATCATCCCCTTCCTAAAGTCAAAAGTATCGCAGACCTTTCTGGAGCAGTTCAATTTCCGGCCAACAACGAAAGGACCAGTGAACAAGCAACATGAAAAAAGTTTCTTTGCCTAAACGGTAAAGAGCGGTTCCAAAAATCTTTGAAGTTTCCTTCATTCTCAACCGAAATGGAGTCAAGAGGTAGCGTTTCTTTCGTCGGCGTCGGTTTAACAATAGTGATGATTCGACCCAGCCCATCGCAGCAAATCTTGACTTTTGACGGGCATTCGCCTGCCTTGTAAACGAGAACAAAATCGAGCGTCTTTGCTTCGTCAAGACGGCGCTGGCAGGACTCTCAGTCACGATACACACAGCCAAGCTCTGGTCGTCGAAGTGTTACCTCTAGCAACACTACAAGCGATTCTCGTAGCTGCGGATCAGGTTGAGGACATCAATTTTAAGGCCTGACGAGGTTCCTAGGTGTCCAAGTCCGATGGATAGCCGCGCCACCAAATTCTTTAGAACACTTGATTGTTTAACTGCGTCTTTCCTTGATCACGGGTCGATCGATCCTCGTGATCGACAATCGACAGTGTCTCAACCACCCAACGCCACTCTCACGAGCGACTAATTGCGAAGGTGGGGTTGAATATAAAACCAATTGAGCGACTCTGGAGGTGGAAGAGTGCTCATCGCGGACAAATTTAGTAATTACAGCAGCGTTGCTCAACGCTTGAAGACCGCTGTGAGAGGGCTATACCGTAACAAGAAGACATGGTTGCCAGTAGTAATGCATATTTATTAGATTTTACTGTATTGATTAGGTACTACTATATTAATCAGGAAAACTTAAAGCTTGAGATATTGGCGGCTCTACCGCAACTCAAACGATTAATTACAATTTCAATTTTGAACGGAAGAGCGTCTTTCCTGGGTTAAGATTTTAAGTACTTGGAGGCAGCGGATTGCGATCCGCTACACTCGTACTGGTTCTAGTATAATACTAAAGGTTTCCTAGCTTAGGTATTTCTAAGCAAAGAGCTACGGAAGCACCGCTGCACTCGACAGCACTAGTAGTCAATCTACACCTGAGTCGTTACGACTGATCCTCTTTGAGGAAGGAGCAATACTCCTATTTGCTCCAGGGTATGCAGGACGGACTTAATAAGCTGATGCCCCAGGTGAGCCTTGAGGGCGTGGAACACCTTGTTTCGAAAGGTTCCGAGGCGATAAGCACGCGCTTAGAGGCGTTTTCAAATTATGAAAATGATTGTTAGAGCACCTACAGCAGAAGGTCTCAGCGTCGACTGCGTCCATGACGCCACCGCCGACGACGGATGAATCTTCCCGACCCAAACCACTCATGGTGAGTGGTAAGACCTTCGAGGGTAAGGATGGATAGAATTTTTTGCTCTGGGTAAGAAAGGCCAAGATGGTGCCATGCTTCAAAACGTACAACAGAGCGTGGCGCAAGCTATCTCCAAGATCGAGGGCGGAGCGCGAGAATGGGTGCTAATGTGCGATGCTTCGATTGATGCTGCGTATCCACTTGAAAAGAGCTGAAGCGTCAGCTTTGCAAGTGTTCTCGCCGCCCAATCAGGCATATCCCTTGCGATCGCGTTTCCTTGCCGCCCAACAGGGCAAGTAGAAATTGATGGACTTTGTCTAAGAGTTTCGTACTCTCATTGCCGGGATGGTAGCCAATTGTTTCCCCGAGGCGGTGACCGTCTTTATGGAGGGCCACTGCACTGGCGTGGCTAGAATGGATGACTTCCGTGTGCAATTGGCTTCTTTTGAAGATGCGGTGAATGTGTCATTGTATGCCGAACTTAACTTCAAGTCTGCACGACTTGGTTGGAATCAACTCTCTTGCAGCTCGTCGCGCGGGCTTGAGCCGATGGATTTCAGCTATGCTGAGAAAGAGGAGGGAGAGCTCCGAGCTGCCGAGCAGCGTTCGTACACCCGACGGTGTTTTGTCTGTGGAGACACCCGTCACCTTCGGACAGGTTGTCCCCTGCGCAAGGTGCGAAAAGATCGAACCGACGCCACGCTTCTAACTAGACTCGCGGGGAAACAAGAAATAAGCAGGCGCGGGCACCCTACTGGAAAAGAATTAAGTCTTTTGTTCCTCACAGAGGAAGGGCCTACTCCCGATGAGCTGCGTGCTCTTGAACACGAACGTGTATTGCAAGCCGGGCTTGCTTAGTCGTAAAAGCGATTGTGAAGAGCTTTGATAAGCTATGGAAGGTCCTTATCGATTTCGGGGCGTTGGGCAATTATGCTCGACAATCCACGATCGAAGGAAGTCGGCTGTATGCTGAGGAGCTGTAAGCGCGGCTGAGTGACATCGTCACTGTTTGCTTGGCGATGGCGACATGTCTCACGGTGCCGAGGGTCCCTGTGGGCCTCGGTGTCAAATTTCTTGACTTTGATGGCGTGGAACGCTGACTAGTCTTAGACCTGGATTTAAGGTATGGCCTTATCCTTGGTATGACGTGGTTGGAACACCGTAATCCATGGATTGATTGAAGGTCAAAGACCTTAGGCGCTACGCGCACGTCTCCTGTTGGAGCTTCGGAGAGTCATGAACCGATCTTTGCTAGGAAGTAGAAGCGCTATTAGCGCGGACACTGGACCGGGACGGTCAATGTGCTGGGTATCGGAGTATCCGAGATGTCGAACACCAAAGGTGTTTTGGACAGGAATCCCGAGCGTGGCTCGCGGGCTGAACGTAGGAGAACATGAAGATCACTGAGCGCTGCTCAAGTATTGGAGCAGTCGCCACATGTCAAGAGTGGCATGGTCGGCCAAGGGCCGAGGCATCCTGGCAAGGCCCTTCCGATGCTCGTGGAGTGGCACGTTATCTACTGGACGAAGACTGCAAAAATAGCAGCTCTCTGTCGGATGTTGCTAATAACATCAAGGCTCCGACGGAGCAGAAAGTAATGACACTGGACGACACCGAGTGCGTGTTCCTAC